CCGTTGCTCTCTTCAGATTAACGGAGAGGCAGTGGAGCAGGTGGAGAAGTTCGGAACTGTATTTACTAGTGATGGAAAATTGGAGGAAGAGATCGACCAGCGAATTGGAGTAGCCAGTGGTGTTCTGCGTGAACTAGCCCTACCCACTGTGACTAAAGCAGAGTTCAGTTTGAAAACTAAGCTCTCGGTATTGAAGTGGACCTTTTACCGCATGCCTACAATGATCATGAGTTGTGGACGATGACTGAAAAACGCTGATCCCGGATTAAAGCGGCTGAGGTGGAATTTCTGAAAGGAGTCGCTGGCCTTACGGGTCTTGACATGGTCCGGAATACTGACATCCGGGAGAGCCTTGGTGCACAGCCACTGCTTCTTCAAACTGAGAAAAGATAACTACGATGATATGAGTACCTGTTGCGAAGGCCTCCAAAAAAGAACGTGAAAAAACTACTAACTATCTAATTGACGGGCAGAAGACCCAGGGGACGCGCAAGATTAATTAATAAGACGTATCGGAAGAGTCTGTTCTATACTCCGGTTGTCTTCTTCTGAAGTTCGCATACTTGCACAGGATCGGAAACGTTTTAAGCACTGTCTGAAACGTTTACCTCCGCGACCGGAAAGGAGAAGTAGGAATGGAAGATGAAGATGATTTTCTAGCAGTCTACTCTTGTGTTCTATGGAATGTCTCGCAGTTATGTAATACAAGAACAGTGTCCATCGCTGATACCTTATGCTTGAAATTGCTTGTAAACCTGCACTATAGGCGAACCCATGAAACATAAAATGGGTGCTATCAGCGTCTGGTTAGCTGAGAAAGCTTGAACAAATAAAAACTATCCAATTTAAAGTTATCATTATAGACCAAATACTCTAGAATTACTCTTAAAGCACATGCTACTACATTATCCACGTTTTCTAGTTGCTTTGCAATATGATAAACAGAAATCTCGAAATATGCATTGAAACGTCGTTCGTATTGAACTCGAGATAGCTCTAGCAAACCAAATTATGGGAAACATTTGACACTGCGTATGATCAAACACCATGACACTGTAGCCTACTTAAATGGCCCCTGAAGGCAAGCAGGAGCAAGGGGGTCAGGTCAATACACCGTGAAATCCAGCCTTGCGGGAGTTATACATTATTCCATCAATAAAAGTTTAAATGTTCCGGGCGTGCTGACGAAGTAACAACCGTGGTTGTTTTTCATGTCAGTAATCAAACCTAACTAAAGTCTCAGGAATGGTACTAGAAAGCATTTACTTATCACATATTCAATATTTGTTTAGTGACGCTCTGCCAATTTACTCTTATGTGGAAGCAACATAAGTTATGCAGCATATTTTTATTGAGTCTAAGGTCCACTGTTAGCTATAAAGAAGTTGTATGTTGTCTATGCACTTCATGTTGATCGACAGTAGGATCTGACTGTACAAGCTGGCGACTGACACCCGCATCGTCAAAATTTAGCATTATGAAACTTAAATCTTCAGTTCAGCTGATCTTTTACCTTATTAACTAATTAGTCACTAACCGAATACGCTTGATTCTAGAACGGACCAGTTTTTGCTGAAAAATGGAAAGTTATTTTCCGTTTACAAAACAAGGTCATGTCGTATCAAAAATTCTAAATGTAAGACCTTTCTAGAGATAATGAAACCAGCAGTACGCTGAGGCCTGTTCGTGTGAGTAACTAATGATATCGCCTACAAGGTTTTAAAACCTGAAAATGTACTCCGTTTAATATTTTCCTGGTGCCTTAACCATTACAACAAGCTAGCCCATATAACGGCACAACTTGCAGTTACAGAATAAGCATAAACTGAAGTTTGTAACGAACATACCAGAAGATTCATATGAGATTGAAAGGAACTAGCCACAGTAATGAAAAACAGAACGGTCTAGAAATGTACAGTAAAGTTTGCTCTAACAAGGCAGAAAAACCATTTAGTCACGTGCGCTGTGAAATTATGTCTCTGAGGAATCATTTGCTCATTAAATACTGGGACATGCAAACCGCTGCCTTGGATGTGCTAAAAGTACCCGTTTCTGAAGCACCATTGGTGACAACGGTCAAGGAAATGCTCTTGTCATTGTAACGAAGGCATATACATCTAGCACCGATATGTGCTTAAACATAAAAAAGGTCGTTCCTGCAGCAATTATTCGCAAATTAATAAAAATGTAGCAACAAGTTTATAGAATAGGTAAATTTAAAAAATAGGTCAGATCTATAAGTAAAATCTGAATCTGTGGGTAAGCCCTTATTTAGAAAAAATGCAGGATTTTACTAAACGGAAAAGCATTAAATGTGGATATTTAGAAACAAGTAGAGAAAACATACTTTTTTTCTTTGTGGATCGCGTCTGGCTGTGCGACTTCGTCTGAACATAACGTTCACGCAGGCGACGAAAGTGAAAGTTGATAAAGTTCCACATCATCCATACTTGAAGACCACAGACGGCAAGCAATGAGTTCAGACGAATGAAGGCGGTGTTGAAATTGCCGGCGTGTAGGTCGACGATGGGAGTTTCAGACGACTTCATACCATACCAAAACGTCAGCATGGCTAGCGTGGCTGACCCCAAACGAACAAGAACGAAATATATGTTCCAGATCTTGAACCTGAAAGGCAATAATTTTATAGGAATAAGTAATCACGTATTTGTATTTGCAGAAACCATGTTTTCACCTTCCTTGAGACGAATGGGTACTGATATCGGTAGAGAAATGCGATACCTGATTTAACATCATTTAACACCTTGTAACATCATTACCTTTAACATCATTTAACACACTTGTATCGAATGGGAATCAGATATCCCCGTGCTCTGAAGTGGCGTATTTTGATTATCATCGTATTTTGTTCATATCAGTTAACTAAGAATGAAAAAATATTAATATCGATCAGGGATGAAAACAGAGTCTTGACCCTGCCAGTAAAGTCAGTTCCGCTTATTAGCCCCGAAGTTAAGAGAATATCGTCCATATTTCCATGAAGCACGTTGGATTCGACCAAGTATGGGAAGAGTCAATTTTCCGGGTGTCAGTAATTTCGTGGAGAGAAGTGTGGGCAAAAGAAGAATGTGGAGAGCAGCCTCTCGTGCAAAACTCCGCGCATCACCTCCACAAATGGTGTTATCCGTATGGATAATGAATTTTGTATAGCACACCGTCTTTCGATATGAGTTCTAACTTTTGACCACATATCATATCTATCTACACGTCGAAAACCGATTTATTTAACTGTATTAATCGTTGGCTGTAAATTTAAATACACCGTGCATTCGGCTAAAAATCACAAGGCTATAACTGCATTGTACACCTGCGTGACTTGAAGGTACAAACACCACGTGAAATAATGGCCGATTCTATCTATTTACATTATCGTGTTGTAGACTACCGTATCACATAGTAGACCAGAGGTAAAAGCGATCAAAAAAGTTTACCCGGCCACAGCGAAGTGATGTTTCTCTGCGAAATGGGCGATGCGACATACGTGGAAAAGAAAATCTGCACTGGCGTGAAGCAGCAAAATGAAGACGGCGACCCTAGTGAAGCTGAAGCAGAAAAAACATTCATAACAGTGGCATGTGGCAACAAAATAAAGCATACTTGAGAGCGTAGGCGCAAACGATGAACAGCAGGTGTAGGGCAGCGAAAAAGCTCCGCGATCGGATATCCTCCTTCTTCGACTTTTGAAAGTAGAACTCTGGATAGGTGTGTATCCAATACGCGATCTACAAAAATAAAAAACCATCTACTCTGCGAATCCCTAGCAATTCAATCTAACTGTAAAAATTTTGTAGTGCCACCATCTACATTACACATAGCTATCATGTAACAATTAAAATGCAGCAAAATCCCGTTATATGGCGGATTTTGGGAACAGAATGAATAACCGTGTTATCGGTAATCCGCCGTGTATCAGAAAATAAAATTTAGTACGTGGAAGTATTAACATGCTTTTACAGAATTGCAAAACACGATAAAAGTAACATCACATAACAAAGTTATTCATACGTTATTTAAGCACTGTTCTTTAAATTAGTTCGATATTGTCTTCTGACGTGACAACTTAAGGCATTTCTTCGTTACATACGTCTTAACATATTTTTAATGCGATTGATTAAGATGATCAAAATCACTTTGTCTTTCCATCCAGTTCACCAGTTCACTAATGCTATTCATTACACTGATAATTTTTGGAGCCTCAAGCTCACTCGTATCTTCACTCTCGCTGTCATCATCTGATAAATGGGCCTCCATTGCTCTTCCACGGCTCTGGACTTCGGCTACAATTGTACAATTTCTTCATTGTCCTTACAAACAGCCACAGGAGATTTAGATTTATTATCGTTGCCAGCCCAATCTTACAGTTCATTTACCTCCATATTTCGACAAAAACATTTGAAGATTCACATATATTAAACACTAGACAATAAACGGAATCTGATTAGAAAGTCACATGTAATGCCACATGGAACACTCCGATCGATGCCAAGATGCAGTAATTTATTTATGCCACCGCTGCCAGCAGACTATCGAACTAAATCTGAACCAAGTGGTTTAGGTAGGAAGTAAAATTTTTTGAAACAAATAAATCGAGTTAAATGTGAAACAAAGGTATTAGCAGAAAGAAATAAATAGAATCATTTTGGAAGGCATGACCACACAGGTGGTACATCCGAATCCGTGCAATAGGCGCGTTATAACACAGTTTTACTGTACATACCTTCCACGGTCTGTCCGTTTCTTCTAGCACCTACCATTTACTTCTTTACATAGTCATGTTTTTTATGCTTTAGCGCTCTTTTTTGTTGTCTCGGTTCTGTTCCTGCCCGTTGCCCCTTGTGCTTTTTCTTCAAACTGTTTCACTTCTGCTGCTTGTTTTTGTATTCTACATTTGATTATTGGCATCAAGCAGAAGCGTCTTTAGGCGGAGACTACAGTCATGAGCCAAGAGCAGCTTGTAGCCTTCTGTTTCCTCCCCACAGAGTGGTATTCAGTTATCAACCCGGGGTGAAGAAGAATGGCGAGTGACCCCAGATGGGGCTTGAACACGAGACCTCTCGGTTCTGAGTTCTCCGATCTATGATCGGAGTAACTCCGGTCTGAAGCAATCTGTAGTAAATTCCCGGCTCAAGAGAATTCCTGAAAAAGGCAAGGAATGCAGTCGAGAGGAATCGAACTCGGGATCTCGGGAGGTCGAAGCAGACCTCTTAGACAACTGTGACAATAGGCCACGGAGAAATATTGATAAGCTGTCGTCCGTTCAGAACAACTACTGATAGTACTACTACAACTACTTTGTAACTACTGATAGTACTGCTACAACTACTTTGTAACTACTGATAGTACTGCTACAACTACTTTGTGCATAAACAAGTTTTTGTCCACGTACAACAGAAATTGTATGTTCATCAGCATAAAACTGGTGACCGTGTTTGTCTAATGATCAGAAGTGAAACTTTTCCACCGCAACCATTACTTTGACTCTGTAGTACAACAGAACACAACAAGCTCAGTCTTCATTCAATAACCTAAATCACACGCATCTAATATCCTCTGAAAATGAGCTCTCTTGTAGTTTTATCTTCGATAATACTAAAACAAAACAGGAAATACTAAAGTTACACTGAATAACTGTAGCAAGAATAATTTTTAAAGCGGCTGGCCCTTCCTATGCCATAAATACAATAACAGCAAAATTAGTAGTATTCTCACCTGCAAGATGAAAAACAACTTCTGTGCAAACGTGAGCCGTCGATGTTCTGTCGGATAGCCATTCCACAATAACGATATATTGGTCAAATAATTTTCCTATAAAAATCATATTCACGAGGAATGCTTAACACAGAATGCATAGTTTGTTTATAAAGAAACTGCAATGCTTACGAATACCAGGATCAACTCAACTTCTGGCCTCTTTTCTCTTGCCCTCTTCTCTCTTAAGATAATTAAAATGTCCAGGTAGAAACATGCAGAAATATACTAGATACCGATAAGACACCATGAAATTAAACCTGCTTGGAGGACCTAAACCTTCACAGTCAGATTCTGAAAATACCCATACATTCATTATAGCAGATACAATGCATAAATATGCCTATTTAGTACATCAATGCAAACGCAGTTATGTAGATATGCGCACACTGATCACCAGATGTCAATATTGTTCGGTCCTTGTCTGCTAATCAAGGTTTTCCTCATTTAGTCTTCGGTGTAAATCCAATTGCTGTTGTTTAACGTCTATGGGACTTCACAGAATGCGTGCTGAAGCTGGGATTATATATCTTCGATAGAGTTCTGTTGTCGCGAAAATATTAACACATTTACATCTAGTGGATGAGGTTTGCGAAAGACCGCCATGAATGGATAACTGCTATTTTACAGGATGTTCCTACGTGCGAGTGCAGGAATTAAGCGTATTTTTCAGCAGACCAATTTCTGTGAAAGGTCATTTATTCTAGATTTTTTTTAGTATGACAATCAAGAATTTGATAGTTTGACGTGATGTGACTATATTGCTTTACATCTCTGTGGAAAGATCAAGGTAAATTCAAGTTGGAGTTGTATTTTTCGTACTCTGCCTTATCCAAATCCACTCGGCACTTTTACATGTGTTAAATAGATCGCTGGTGGAAAAGCATTGGCACAGGTACCCAATGACATCCACGTAATCCCAGTCCTCAGAGCGATCTTACTATCCCGACACAACAGTGCCATCGGCGTATCTGATGAATTTCGACCATGGCCGATATCATTCTGAGAAGCCAAAGCGTCAGACATCATTAATCTCGGTACTTGGTCCCTTTGATACCCAAATGTCGATGACAACAACAAAAACATCTTATGCATTTGAAAGGGAAGCTAAACACAAAATCATTCGCGATGTTGAAAAGCAGAGAGGGGAGGACGGAACCCCGAGCTACGCCAGGATTGTTCTGTATGAGACTGGATTTCTTTTTACCAATCTTGACGAACTGGTGACGGGAAGAAAAACATTTAGCCAGCCATCGAACGACTGAGGGATCAATGGTTATGACTAGCATCTGAAATACTTTATAAAAACAACGGATAAAACGGAAGGACAGAAATGCAACCGCAAGGGGTCAACGAGTCAGAGGTCCAAAGGTAGATTGTCAATTATAAGCCTTCATGATGATCGACAATGTTCAATATTTACCTCGCTGACGATGTAAGCAGCATAAGCTGCAGTGAACAGGCAGAATGGGATGAGTTGCCCAGACTCGTTGAACTTCGCGGTTTTCGTCTTCGACAGATGCATCTTACGTTGCAGTTTGTCGACGACATATTCCTGAATAACAGCATGGACGACAATGCAGATTAGGCTGTAGAAAAAAATCGTCGCCACATCCCGCCAGCCAGCTTGGTAATACCACTGAGGAGATGAGCCTTAAAGAGGAGGTAGAAATCTCCAGCTTGTTGTGCCCTCAACATTTACCATCGATTGTGGTCACGTTGTGCTGCAAGATGACGAAACATGATGCCAAAGGCGCCGTTATTTGCAGCATCATTCCAGCGACGAACACCATGGCGATCGTCGACACGATGTCCGCATGGTTTTGGATGATGAACTCATGGCTGAATATCGGCACGTTCTTCGAAGACCGACGACCACCACCTAACCTTCGCATTTGTTGTTCCTGGCCCATGGCTGCGATGAAACACGATCAGAAACGTTGTTTATAGCCTAAACCACATAAACGGCATTCCTCGCCGCCGCTACACACGTAACATATGGCTAAAGCTTAAACCAAACGTGGTGCAACACATGGATGCAAAGACTGCATACAGTGCCTACCTGCAAGTCATTAAGTTGCTTGTACAAAAAATACATTTTAACGAACCAACTGAATTTCTT